ATTTCGCGCCGCTAAAGACGCGGAATTTCACTATCGATAGACGAGCTCACTTATTGACATTATTCTTAATGAAATTTGATAACTTGTATGCGCACGACGTGATTGTTCGCAACGCTACTTAAGCCTATCTACACCTCTGTACCGCGGGAAAGTGAACGGGAAGCTCAGAGACTTATGGCGGTTAATTAATCGCGAAAGGCAATCTTGATTACGCCAAATTAGTACGTGTCACAGACTGCATGATGAATATTTTGACGGTGGAATTAAAGCCGTCAGGGAATCCCATGTATTACTGCATGTATTACTCGTCGATTCGAAGAAGCAATTAGGTAATGGAGTTACCACGAGAGTGGCGAACGTACGTATTACACTCGCAAACATAAATCACGCATCATAAATACGTTACCTCGAATACGCGCGAATTGGATATCCAAATTCGAGGATATGTCAAAACTGATATTTATACCGATGATAAAGAAGCGATCACTTTTAATGTAAAACGTGTAATAGAAAGTAACATTACAAATTAATAACGTATCTCAGTGCAGCCACCCAAAGTAAGATTAACGAAATGACGACGATGTTGACGTAAGACGATAAGATTCGCTCGAAAAAGCGCCTCATAATTTTTTGTTCAACGCAAATGCACTTGCCTCGCGATTTCTTCGGACAAGCTTACGCGACGTAAATTGCACGGGATAGCAGATTCTCAAAGGCCAACGGGGGCGACGTGTGCGTAATTTTTATTTCGAGTCGTAAACTCTCTCTGGAAAAGGCTTTTAAAAATCAAGTCACGCGGAAAGTGATATACATTCAATATGACATATTATTTCTACCCCGTGCAGGTGCTATACTGGAGAAACAACACACTTGGTATGGCACATTCAACTAATTCGATTGCTTATAACTTTCATAAAAATGAACGTGCCGTTAAAATTTTTTTTCAGTCGGAATATCAGATATTGAGAGGAATATAGCGGTACCGAAATAAATGTCCACGCAGCTTATACAGTTTGATATAATGCGACGCTATTATTTTCTGCATTCTATGTGAATTCACTCTTGTACGAAGTAGCGCACTTTCTGCCGCGTGTATCTTTCTACGTGGAGATTTTTCTCACGTAAATATCTGAAAATCGTTCGAGTGCCGGCGGAATTGAAGGAATTTCCAAGGAAGCGCGGATAAATCACCGTACATAACTCATAACTGTGTGTGCGTTGGATAAATTCCTACTTCGACAACACTATCTCGCGCCTTTTGCTATAGTATAATCAAAATTAAGAAGCCGGGCGAGATGGCCAGGAGCCATCGAGAGCAGTGGATCGTTTTTGTCAGAATCCGCAGTCAGGATTCTTCGTGAAAAAAAAAACGTGTAAATATATCGCATTCGAAGCTTCCTCGATCATCCGGGACTATGTAATTTTTTTCTTTTTTATTCACGAAACATCTCCAGTCAATTTTTCGGAAGTACACACTTAACAAAATTATTAACGATGCTACATTTAATTACTATATTTAATTATTATTATTCTTATATATACATATGTAATAATTATTGTAGTATTAAAATGTCTTAATCGTCAGTAATATTTGTTAAGTGTGACGATAACGGCGATGCCAGGTTTGCGATCGGTTCCATTAAATAATATGCTGTCAATTTGTTCGAAATAAATAAGGTGAAGTGACTTAAAAATAAAAAAATCGCAGTCTCTGAAGAACAATTTAATAATACAAACGTCAATACGATAAAAAGCAGACGTCTATACGTGAAACATACGCAGATTCCAACGAGTCGCGTGCTTGCTTTTGAATACATTTCGTATCAAGTTTGATATTCGCGAAAATATTTCAACGTGACTCTCGATGACGTTAACAGCTCCAAACGTAACCGTCAACACTTTTCGAACGCAGATGCATTCGATTTTCATGGGAAAATTGTATCGAAGCAAGAGCGATAGTACCGACGACGTATCGGTCCGCGAACGATCGGCGATAAAACCGCGAATTCTGTACGCACGCGAATAGATGGACATATCATATGATAATGTGAATATTATGACGATGTTGCGGGCATAAATTAAGCCCGCGTCTCGTCATCGATGTCTTCGTTTCGCGTACGCGTCGCGTGCGATATGTTGCATTCGATTCTGCGAGACGTAGAATTATCTCGAACTTTTTTTCCCCTGTACGCAAATTTGTAAAAAAATGACTTAGATGACCGCGGCAGGATTTCTTGATTTCTACAATTTCACGCACGGAAGATTATAATTGCGGTTATAACGTTGAAACAATTGTAAAAATTTTACAGCAAAGTAGACTCGTTGATGTTTGAATTGAATTTATTGAATTTATCTATCTGCTCATGTTTACTAAAATTGACTTAACTATTAATTTGCTTTAAACTTTTCCCTTTCAATAATACTGTTTCAAGTATGCCAGATTAAGATATAACGTAATCATTATTGACATTTCGAAATATTTAAGATTATTTTTTGAAAGGTATGTGCAATAAATAACGGTAAATGTCATTAATTAAATTGCACGTGAATACACTAAATTAAGTAACAAGGAAGCCTTATCAGTTCATTGTTTAAATAATATTTTGGTGTGAATTTGTGGTGTACATATTCAGTTCTGTAAACTGCGCTCTGAAAAACTGGATATGCACATCAATTCACACCGAAATATTATTTAAGTATCACGATCCAGCTCAGACTTTCTCATTATTTAGTTATTTTTTTTTTTGTTTTACCTTTGTACTCACTTTTTTTGTAAACACTGTGCATGTATAAAATATAATGTGACATACGTCGATGAGCAAGTGTCTTATTTTTTAACGTAATGGAAAATGTATGTATTAACGAATAGTCGATTGCCTAATATCGATCGAAGCTTATATCTCTTTGGCATTGGAGCACACATTTCTTTGCCCGATTATCACTTCGACTGAATCGTGTTTAATTCAACGCGATACAAAAAAGGCACTGTTCGCCGTCGTCAATATTCCTCGCAAACGGATCGTTTTGCAAAAATATTTCCACCGAGCGTGATGTACGTCGTCATCGAGCATGTGCGAAGGTGAACATGAACTGTCAGCTACTTGCATCGTTACAAAACGCGACACCAGCTCGAGCCGTGAACGCGCACAGGTGTATTGATGCACCGAGAAGAAATGCATTCGCAATCGAGAACGAGAAAATAGCCGTGGAACAGCTGCTTAATCGTCAGTACACTCAGCTACCTGCTATAATAAACGCACGCTAATTGGCGCGTCCGTATTTTGTAAGAGCATTATTCCCAAACAG